TACCACAGTAGCGGAGGAGAGCGGGCAGAGCCAACCACAGGCCGGTGAACTGCTTCCATGTCGGAGCAATAGCACAGCATGTAGTCAATACAGACCACCTTCCATGCCTCGAGTCAAGGCATGGGGGAAACACAGTACTTCTGCCATAAGCCTTCAAGGGTCAGGAAACCTATTTCAGTTGTGACTGGTCATGTCTGCACAGGGGCCCCGGGCCTGAGAGACAGTTTAAGAGCACCAAGCTGAGTGTGTGCTGACCATAGACTTACAGGGGCAGTAATAGCTGCAGCAAAGACCCGCAGACTTGAGACAAGTGATGACGTCAGGTGAGAGTGATGGCTAAGGAGCTGGTGAGACGTGGTCAGGTGAGAGTGTATTTTTAAAGCTTGACACGGCATCTGGAGTGCCAGAGAGAAAACTAGTATGAACTTGATGTGTTTTGCTTGCAGAACTGAAAGCATGTATTTACCATGAGCTGAAATAGAGGACTGAGGGAAGAGCAGGGTTGGGGAGAAGATCAAGGCTTTATTGTGAGACATGTTAATACTGAACACTGAACGCCCTTACTAGATATCCAGGTGGAGATACCACATTGGCAGATAGAAACGCCTCTATTGCAGGGGTGGCATCTGAGCTAAAGGTATCAGTTTTGGAGTTGACTAAGCTGTGTAAAAAGGTAGAGAAGAATATAGGCCCAAGACTGAGGTCTGGAGTGCTGATGAGGGCAGGGGGATGAAGAACCAGCACAGGAAGCAGCCGTAAAGCAGGAGGAGAAGACAGCATGCTGCCATGGAAGCAGAGGAGAGAAGGTGCTTCAAGGAAGTGTGGGATTGTTATTTATGGAGTATTCACTCTGCAAGAAGCTTTGTCTATTTTGTGCCCCCTCATCAGCACCACAGACCTGTAAGGTGCAGCTGTTAGTCTCATTTTATATAACAGCTCAGCAGGGTGAGATTTCCACACAGATCTTTGACTCATCTCTCTCATGTGCCAGCTAGGGTGCTAGCCATGGAGCCCTACAACCAGAAAGGTAGCAAACTCATAGGTGCAGAAACCAAAGATAGATCCCTCTGACCCAAGTCTGCACAGTTTCCGACAAGAGATGGTGGTAGAAAGACTTCTTACAAATGCTGTATCTGGGTTTAGACAAAATGAAAGAAAATGAAGGTGAGCTATGTAAAAAAGAAAGGAGTTAGATGAAACACATGGGTTTTTCTTTGGTTTCCCACAAATTATTTTCTAAGAAGTTTCCTGTTCTGATTGCTTTTTAGTTGCTTAAGAATGTAATGATAAGTTAACCCCTTAAGATGTGAGGATTAACTGAACTCTAAGTCAACCAGATGCTTGGAACTTGTCAGGGAAGACCTCTTTCAAGAGTGAATTCAAACGTTCAGTGCACTGCCAGCTACCTCCTAGGCATGACGTGTTCAGTAGCTTCTCTCTCTGCTTTCCTTCTGAGTTTCTGGTGAGCATTGCTCAGGAGAACCCTTCATTGTGGCAAATAATAGCTCAGACTCTCCTTTCTTCCATAGATCATGTACAAAATGAAGAAAACTATGCACAAGTCCTTGATAAGTTTGGGAGTAATTTTTTAAGTCGTGACAACCCAGACCTCGGTACTGCTTTTGTCAAGTTCTCCACGCTTACGAAGGAACTGTCCACACTGCTGAAAAATCTGGTAAGCTATTTTATAAATGAGCTTGTTTCTTTAAAAAAATAAAATAACAACCTGTCAAACACATAATGAAATCGTGGAATGAAAACTGCTCCATAATCTCTTCCCCCGTACCTCGTTTAGGGGGATGATTGTAAAAGACAGCACCTTTCAGCCCTAGACCTAAGTACGGAATCTCTGTGGCCCTAAGGTAGGAACCTTGCCATTGATCTGTGTTACAAACAGCTAGTTTACAAATGAAATACGACCTGTTTGAAAAATCCAAACTAGCTTTCTCCAGCCCTGCTGCTGTTAGATGGTATCAAGCAAACAGAGCAAACCCAGCCCAGTCCTGCACCAGCTTCACAATAGTCACATGAATAAGTGAGCCTTCAGAATAGTACTTGTTTTTACCTACCACAGTAGATAAATGTATGTACATGTTGATTCCCTGGAAACTTGTTTCTAATTGGTCATAAGAATTAGATTTATACAGTTAATCCAGCTCACCTTAAAGAAAAGATAAGTTGGCAGTAGCTTCTCTTTTTCCTCCTCCATATATGGGAAAAGACCATTTTCAATTTGGGCCCACATATTCCTTAACATTTTGTTTTGTGTTTGACAAAGCCGTGATATTGCTGTAAATCATAAGATTATTCGGAGCCCTTTCCCTCTGAAGAGCTCATTCTGCCCACCTTCCTCAGGGGTTGCCTGTTCCTGGTGGCTGTGTACCCACAGTGTGGTGGGAGGAGAGGAAGTGACTCAGGACTGACATTCACTCACTTTGGTGCTTGCTGGGAAATGGGTGGAGAATGGGGGGCTTCTCGTTGCTTTGGAGTAGTTGAGTCCACGTGGTTCTCTTGCTGACTTGGTTTCCAGGAGACAAATGCATTTGGGTTAAATCAAGAGTCAACCCCAGCAAGCTTCCTAGACCAGTCCACTTCTGCCTCATTGCAGGATGGTGGGCTGTGTGTGTGTGTGTATGTGCATGCATACATACATTCATATAGGAGAGCACCCGCTAGTCCACATGAGTCAGGCCACTTCGCAAACATCCACTTTCAGCTTATCTCAAAACAGGCAAAGCTGTTATTTACTGACCACTTCTCATGTCCTCAGCAATGTGGTGGTTTGTGTAGATCATCTCATTTAACACCTGGCTCACCTGAGGGGCAGGTGAAAGAACCGAAGTACCTGAAGAATTAGTAACTTGTCCAGTCACACTGCTAGTTAGTAGGCTTGGACCCCAGCCTTCTGTCCCTGGGTTCATTGTCCTTAGTTTTCCCTACCGTCCCTGCACCTTACATCTGGCGGTGGCTTCCCTGAGGGGAGCTCTTGTGTGAAGCTGCAGGCCTCTGTGCCACCTCCCACCAAGAAACAGACATCTGAGGAAGCTCTGAGCCAGGCGTCCTCAACTACGGCCCGCGGGCCACATTCAGCCCACTGAGGACATGTATCCAGCCCGCCAGGTGTTTTTGCCCCGTTTGTTTTTTTACTTCAAAATAAGATATGTGCAGTGTGCATAGGAATTTGGTCATAGTTTTTTTTTTTAAACTATAGTCCAGCCCTCCAACGGGTCTGAGGGACAGTGAACTGGCCCCCTGTTTAAAAAGTTTGAGGACCCCTGCTCTAAGCTGAATGGCTGGAAGACCTCATTCATTAAACAAAACAAAATAAAAGCAAACTCTCCCCACTGAAGGTGGTGCCACCACATTCCTAAGGAAGAGAGGGCAGAGGAGTCTGTTCTGTCTCCTGCTTCCTTGGGGAAAGCTCTGCCAGGGCTGAGAAGAACAGGAGACCTACTGGCCTCCTTCTCTGGTCACCAGAAAAGGGACGATGAGCCAGGCAGGTGGGAACAGGCAGCAAGGTTTGGAGCAGACCCCCATGTGGCCAGGAGTTTGAGACTGCTTGTGCACCTCCTGTCCTGATTGTGTATTCAGGGGACCCTGTACCCTAACCAAGCTCTGCAGCATCCCTAGGGAGCTCCCAGAAGAGTCCTGACACTTCTCTTAAGTCAGTAAGGCTAGAAGCATGAATCAGTAATTGACACATTTGGAATTCAGAGAGCAAGGTAAAAGTAGGTACCCTAGAGGGTTTTGTTCTTGAAAAAAAAAAACAAACCAGAAGGCCCAGGCCCTTATCTATACAAAAAAATAAGAATCGTTTCTATTGGAGTCATTGAGAGGAACCCTGGTGGCGTAGTGGACTGTGAAGTGAGCTTTTAACCATTAGGTCAGTGGTTCTAACTCACCTGGCGCTCCTTGAAAGAACAATGAGTCTTCATAATCTTGTAACAATTACAGCCTTGGAAACCCAATGGGGCAGTTCTACCCTTTCCTACAGGGAAAGAATCAACTTGATATTGGTGGGTGAATATTGAAGTCATTGAAATCATAGACATCAGTTACTAAGTACAGCACCTGCCACATGGGATTTGTTTAGATACAAGTTTTTGTATTATTTGTTGCTGATGATTGGATCTTTCCAGTAACTCCCACCATCAAGTGCTACTCTCAGGTTGTATCCCATTTTACAGACCAGATCTCAAACATAATTGCATGCCTGGTAAGTGACCTCAGACCTCTGACAACAAGCCACACACTATTCGATGTGTGTGATCTTCCCAGGGTCACAGCTCTGAAGGTGAGGTGATTGATTCCTTCCTGGACAGCTGTCCTGTTAGAAAATGTGTAGGGAATGCTGACACCTAGTGGCGAGAAGCTGGAGAAACGACATGATCTACGTGTATTTTGTGTGGAACAGACTTGTGATGGTCATGGACTTTGAACTTTAAGGACACCTGGGTAAAAAGAATTCTTCAGTGACTTCTGATCTGTGTGGCTTTAGAAAGTTTCTTAGGATCTCTGAACTTTGGTTTCTCCTTTTTATGAGAGGAAATTATATACCTCCTGGGCATGTTCATTCCTGACTCATTCAAATGCTTGCTGCTTTTTCATGAGCACTGGTATTAAACAGTAAGAGTACAATGGTGAAGGACAGGTCAAGGACATTGTTCCTGTGGAGCTTACGTTCTAGAGGCCTTTTATTATGAGGGCTAGCAATAATTTACGTGACATTCTGGACCAATAGGCAGCATCATGATAAAAGATTAAAGGTAAAGGTTTCCGTTTACTTGGATCCACAATTAATGTGCATGGAAGGAGCATTCTAAAAATCAAAAGATGCATTGGGCAGATGCGTTGTTAAAGAGCAAATGCCACTGTGAGGACTAAGATGCACCTAACCCAAGCTGTCGCCTTTTATAGTCTTTTTAGTCACCTACGCACGTGAAAGCAGGACAGTGAATGAAGACAACTAGAAAAGTTAGTGCATTTGAGTTATGGTGTTGGCTAAGGACATCGATGATACCATGAGCTACCAGAAGAACAAACATTTAACTTGGAAGAAGTACATCAAGATGCTCTTTAGAACTGGGAATGGCAAAGACCTCATTGCATGTCCTGTGGACATGTCAGGTGAGACCAGTCCTTGGGAAAAGACACCATGCTTGGTGAAGTCGAGGATCAGTGAAAAAAAAAAGGAAGACATTCAGGGAGGTGTGGATTGGCATATTGGTTGCAACAATGAGCTCAAATATAACAATTGTGAGGTTGATGCAGGACTGGCAGTCTTTTGTTGTGTGGTACATAGATTGATATGAGTCAGAATCAAAACTCGAGTATACCTAGCACCACCACCACATACCCTAACTTCTAGCTCAACTTACGTGCTTAACAGAGATTCGAGGTTGGTTTGGTGGTGGTGTTTTTTTTTTTGCTGGGGGGGGTGTTCTTTTTCTTTTTTAAAAAAATCATTGTATTGGAGGCTCATACAACTTTTACCACAATCCATACATAGATCCATTGTGTAAAGTACATTTGCTCTCACCATGGGTCCTGAAGGGATCATCCATCCTGGATTCCCTGTGCTTCCAGTTCCTATCTGTACCAGTGTACATCCTCTGGTCTAGCCAGGTTTGTAAGGTAGGATTAGGATCATGGTAGTGGGAGGGGAGGAAACATTTAAGATAGAGGAAAGTTGTATGTTTCATTAGTGTTCCACTGCACCTTGACCATAGAGTAGTTTTTGTTTTTTTTTTAATTATGAAATATCATTTTCTGGGTTTCTTACCAGTCTCTCAGAACATCCTCCAGTGAAAGGTTCCTTGTGAATCAGCCAGCTCCAGGCATAAGCAGCAGTTCATTGTTCTGGAACATATGCTATTTCATACCTCCATGCCTGTACATATTCCCTTCGTAAAGGGTGCCCTTTAGCAGTTAATGTACTGAGGATAAAGTCTTTCTTTACAATGTAACTTGGTTGTTTTTGTTTCATGAAAAAGACAGGACACTCATGAATCCTTGATTTTTCTAAGTGTTTGTTGTTGTTTTGATTCACTTACCTGGCACCAAAATCACATTTGCCTTTCATTTGTAACCATTGCAAGGAAAGTAGCGAAATCATTGTTTGATGAGATCCTGGCAAAGAAGTTGCATCTCAACAGAGATTGGTACCCATTCAATTCCTTGGCCACAAAACGAGAGCAGGAAAAGAGTAACCCCTGGCTTCTAATTAGAGGGGAACTGTTTAAATGCCCTGATCCTGCAAGAGCACCAGTGGAGCAGCAGGTTTAGAAAATAATACGTTAAACCTTTTTAAAAATAATAGGAGGTGCCCAGTTAGGGCTTCTTACACATCTGGTTCCTTCTCCTCGCCTCGTAGCCGTCCTCAAGCTTGTGAAAGAGTTCTGTCTCATTGAACAGTTGGAGGGCGGTTATTGCTTCAGAGCTGTTGAAGCAAAGATTTCTCCAGCAGCCTAGCATTTCCTGTTTGCAGCCTCCAACTGCAGGGTATCCTGGGTTGGGTGGCAGCACAACTATGTAACATCTCAAAACCCACTGCCAAAAAAACCCCACTGCCATCCAATCGATTCCACTCACAGCGACCCTATGGACAGAGTAGAGCCGCCGTTGTGCCATTGTAACTCTTTACGGCAGTAGACAGCCTCAGCTGGCGGTTTGCAG